CCCCTATAACACTGTTGATAATTCCGTTTTATATGAATTCCATGTTGTACGAGTCACTTAGATTTTCCAAATACGTGAGCCGTTCACAGCCCGGCACGCGTATTTGTAAAATCTAAGTGACTCGTACAACATGGAATTCATATAAAACGGAATTATCAACAGTGTTATAGGGGGTCGACTGTATTGCGATCGGTCAAAAAATGACCCTCCCCAAAGATTTTTACATTTTTTGGACTTAGGGAATCTTAAAACGTCGAGAAATGCAAAAACATTTTCCCCCCTCTACGTATGGATGTTAAATTGTGGGGGGCATGATTTTGTTTACCCTCTTTGAAGCTTAACTCATGTGCTTTCGAAAATTTCTGAAATTTTGCAGGAAGATTTGCGCTATTAAATTTTGGTCCTTTAAGGTCGACGATGTGTATAAAGGGCGGTCGTGTGTCATATCTCGAACAAAGTCGGACTCAATATCGATTTTACTCATTATCATCATTTACAATTTTTTAAAATAAAACACGTCCCTACTCTGAAAATTAAGCTTTTTGCCATTTTATAATGAAATATTGTAACAGACAGCGCCACCAGAATATTAAATGTTGTCGGAAAAGTTAAACGATTCGTTGCTGAATTTTTACATTTAAATAGACCCACATTACATTTCTGGATTCCTCGTCTCAATTAATGGAAAATGGCAAAATTTTATCAAAATGAATCCATTAAATTTTGAGAACGAACTTGATTCTATAAGCCCATAAGACATGCTAGCGACCGTGAAACATCGCACGACAAAGTCGCGCGATATCACTTTGTCGCGCGCGCTCGTGAAACGATCTTATATCTCAAAAACGAAGTAATGGATCCCCCATTTTTTATGTAGTTTTGGAATACACGTCGCAATTATTAGAAAATGGCAAAGTTTAATCAAAATCTATCGAAAGGATTTTGAGAACGAACACAATTCTATAAGAAGCTTCGCTACCCTCCGCTTCTATTAAAAACGAAGTCGAAAACTTAGGACGTGTCGAAATCTCTGGTTTAACTCGACTTGAAAAATCTATTATGATCAATCGCGAATCAAAATAAACAAACTTTGTTGCTTCTTAACCATCAAGAAACCTGTAGAACTTTGGCGTCTAGACAGAAGTCTACATGACCCAATTCTTTTAGTGCAAGAAATAAATATTTTTATTTACAATTCTTCTTGGCAATGTTTCAAATAAGCGCAACACTTACAAATAGAGTTTTATTTTTTAAATATCAATAATTATATTATTCTAAGTAAAAAGAAATACCTAAATTCCTGAAATATATCAGCAGCAGCAGCAAACAATATATCTAACTTGACTTCAATGTATCTTATGTAGTGTTTTTAGTTTACTATACCTAACTTGTACCTGTATAACCAATGTTTTAGACCTCTGTAAACTAGGGTATGTTAGTTTTAAAATTACCATAACTTGGCAAACTCCCAAATAACTTTGTCGTTACTGAAGTAAGTTAATAAAATTCATTTGTGCCTTAATAAACCAAGTTCATAAAAAATATAAATATTCCTGGAATAAACTAAAGTACTTAGAAAATCAACAAAATAAAAAGTAATTTTTTAGTATTCTATAGAAGTAACAAAATAATAAATTGCTTAAATAGCATTTGCTCATAATTATTCTTTAAACAAGTGAAATAACAGACTAAGACTGATGAGAACCAATTTCAGACTACATCATGAATGTCATATGAAAAAAATGAATAAATTAGTAAACTATGGTTAACTCATAATCATCAAGATTTCTGAAATTAAAAAAAAAATGAAGACAATTGTTGAGAAAATAAAACTGAACAATCCCATTACAATTATACACTGAAAATTTTACATTTATTGTTCTGTACTGGATTCAGGTGGGCATAGCACAAACAGTACAATACTTATACAACAGTGTCAAATGTCAACAGAATTTTAATTTGTCAGATTGTCAGTACGTATATATTATATATACCAATCAACCCATATACTAGAATATTAGATACAGCTAAAATTATTAACTATTATATTTTTTTTCTTTTATCTATTAGAAGAATATAAAGCCAATTTAACGAGTCATTTGCAAATAAGGCCACCAGTATACAAAAATATATATTTACTGTTTTAATCCACAACCACTGAAAGACAGTCTGAACATAGTGGCAGAAATCACATTACCAGTATGAAATCTTTTCTGTTTTTTTTTTTTTAATAAAATATTTCATAAAAAGTCTGACTAAATTTGAGATCTTAATTAAAAATGATTCTGGAACATTTATACATAAGATTTAGAAAATACTTTTTTATTTATATTATATTATATATATAATAGT